TAATTACGTAATGTTGTGTTTAGAAGTTATTTCTGTAAATAGTATCTTATCTCACTGTTTACGTCAGATTTAATAACCGTTTGAAGGACAGTTGGATACGTAATTCTAAATTACATATTGAAAAAAAAAAAACTACGTATGTGGGTGTAGATGTAATAGACTCATACTCGACTGCACAAAAGACACCTCCTGCAACGCCATGCGTTATGTCCTGGGTTTGACGACGATGACTAGAAGATACAAAGGGGCACAAGTCAAGGCTTACATGAGGGTATCGGCAGACGTTAACCACCCATTGCACAAAGCTATACACGACACAAAAGGAACGCGTCTCAAGAGGCCGCTCTTGGATGGCAAAGGCTGAAGATTTAATCCAGCAGGTATGTGACCTATACGTGATCAGTCACGGAAAAGAATGGACGAATACACCAGTAGACAGGCATGGCATCTCTAAGGTTGTCATCACACTAGAAAGGTACTGCCAGGATCAGATTCCTGCAGCCGTAGACACAGAAGTAAGGGAACTGATAGATCAACATTCAGACCCAGAAGATATCATGATCTACACAGATGGATCCGTGAAGCGCGGATCAAGGTCAGCATGGGCATACACAGCGCAAAGAAGGGGGAAAACAGTACATGAGGACAGCGGCAAAGACAGCGGCGCTTACCAGACAACCACGTCAAGCATGACCATGGAAAAAGCAGCTGCTTCTAGAACTTTAACATGGGTATCCGAGCAAACCGCCACACAGGCAGTAATTGTCTCAGACTCAATGCATATGCTTCAGAAGATAGCAACAGGCAGTATGCGCTCTGAATGGATAGAAAGCATTCGGAAATCGCACTTAACATCCGTAACCTGGATCTACACACCGGGTCATGAGGGCTTAAAGGGAAATGAGCGAGCGGACCAACTAGCAAGCACTGCACTAATGATTGTGGGAAAAATCATCGACAGAGCAGATATCGTCAACGCTGTACGGACTGGGCTAGTGGATAATGCCGAATTCCTGACACTAACACAATTGCGTGACATGGGAGTTAAGCATGACGAAGCACGTCTTTGCCGTCTTCGAGGCCAAGAAAGAGACAATATAACCAGCTTCTCATGGGGACAATTAGTAGAAGTACTTTGGAGTGGCAGCTGCTTCGGAGGACTGAGCACGCATGGGTATGCCCAATTTGCAGTGACGTCGATTGTGATAACAAAACATAAAATAACATCTTGTAGGGAGTCGGCAGTCCGAAACCCAAGTTCAAAGTGTCTCCTTCGTGCCAAAGAACTGCATGGTTGTTAAGTGAACAATCGTTAACGAAGGCAGTCAGGTCGTTGTAGGGTCGCGCGACGCCAGCTGGTGGATGTAATGTCCTAAGTCCCTTCCCCAACTAATAGTGAGGGTACTGCTGGGGTGACCATTTATTAACCCTCATATAATGCTTCAGGTCAAAATTGACGCTAGGCACGGCCACTTTCTTTTTTTTTAAAAGCCGTGGCAAATGTTTTTGGCCGTTGCATTTTTGCTCCATTTGTAGGCTGGAAGGATATAGTTTCGTCGCCCAGCTTCTGAGTTGAGTGCATGGCGTGGCACTGTGAGCTACGTGTGTTTTTCGTTGGCACATAGGGGAGCAACTATGGGGTGACCCGTTTGCTAAGAAACTGAAACTAAGATTACCCGATTACCAGATTACCAGATGTAATGCAACTGATTAACAACGCAATTACGAGGGGATTCTTAAGTGCTAGAGCGGTTAACACTACACAGAAATAATAAGAAATATAGCTGCATTTTCTGTTATAAAGTATCAATTAATACAAAGCAATATAGATAGGTGACACTTAAAGCCTTCTATATAGACCCTGACAATTGGAAGGCTGCTGTACAAAACAGGACTGCATGTTGAATGTCTATAAAAAAACATAGCGACTGGCCAGTCATCTACAAAATGGGCAGCTGAAAAGGGAAAGAGAGACCTGTTTAAGAAGCCTTTTATCTACATCTACTGTTCGCTGTCCTCGTTGTCGTAGACCCTTCCAGGCTCTTGTTGGGTTTATAAGTCACTTCCAGACTCACAGACAATCAACTATAGTTTCATAAAGGGGCTATCGTCACTTGCGATGGACGAATAAGTGCCAGTGAATACACAAAAATAATTACAGTAAAAGCTAGTTTAGCATGAATTTCAAAGGACTGAAAATCGAGTTCGCGTTAAAAAATAGGCTTGCTAGCCGGAGACTAATAATGATAATACATCCCTGCTGGGATCAGCAGTTTGTTTATTTTAACCAAGTGTTCTTCTTAAACGAATTCGTGTTAATGAGGTTCCAACTTCATGGCGAATGGGTTAACCCAAAACTACTCAGTTTCTGTGTCAACAAAAGCCACAAAAGAGTTCCCACAATTTTCCCTTCTCAAAAAAAAAAAAAAAAAAATGGACGCACACCTTAGTCTCAGCAAATTGAAAAGCAAACACACGCATTAAGTGCACAACGCAGCCATCAGAAGTGCCAACATACACACCCTGACACTAGAAATGCAGTTCATCGCCAATGGAAGCAGCGGCTGCCACAGATCTGTAGTTTCAAAAGTTAATAATCGCATAAGGCACCACATGTTTTTCAGACATAGGTCGCTGGCAATTTTATGAATCTGCAGTTCACGACATAAACAGCGTTTGTTATAGTAGAGAGGCATTCCAAATGAAAGCAGAGCTCTCGGGGCAGCTCACGGTATAGCCCACGGTGTAGCTCACGATATAGGTCACTGTGTAGCTCACAGTGCAGCTCACATTAGAGCTCACGGTGTAGCTCACGGTATATCTCACGGTGCAACTCACGGTATAGCCCACGACCACGGTGTAGCTCACAGTGTAGGTCACGGTGTAGCTCACGGTGTAGCTCACGGTATAGCCCACGGCCACGGTGTGGCTCACGGTATAGCCTACGGTGTAGTTCACGGTATATCTCACGGTGTAGCTCACGGCATAGCCCACAGCCACGGTGTAGCTCACGATGTAGCTCACAGTATAGCTCACGGTGTAGCTCACGGTGTAGCTCACGGTGTAGCTCACGGTATAGCTTACGGTATATCTCACGGTGTAGCTCACGGTGTTGCTCACGGTGTAGCTCACATTGTAGCTCACGGTGTAGCTCACAGTATAGCTCACGGTATAGCTCACGGTGTAGCTCCCGATGTAGCTCACAGTATAGCTCACGGTGTAGCTCGAGGTGTAGCTCCCGATGTAGCTCACGGTGTAGCTCACGGTGTAGCTTACGGTATATCTCACGAAGTAGCTCACGGTGTTGCTCACAATGTAGCTCACATTGTAGCTCACGGTATAGCTCACGGTGTAGTTTATGGTGTTGCCCACGGTATACCTCACGATGTAGCTCACGGTGTAGCTCACGATATAGCTCATGGTGTAGCTCCCGATGTAGCTCATGGTGTAGATAACGATGTAGCTCACGGTAGAGCTCATGGTGTAGCTTACGATATAGCTCACTGTAGAGCTCACGATATATCTCACGGTGTAGCTCACGATGTAGCTCACGATGTAGCTCAAGGTGTAGCTCACGGTATATCTCACGGTGTAGCTCACGGTGTAGCTCACGGTGTAGCTTACGGTGTAGCTCACGGTGTAGCTCACTGGATATCTCACGGTGTAGCTCACGGTGTAGCTCACGGTGTAGCTCACGGGATATCTCACGGTGTAGCTCACGGTATAGCTTACGGTATATCTCACGGTGTAGCTCACGGTGTTGCTCACGGTGTAGCTCACATTGTAGCTCACGGTGTAGCTCACAGTATAGCTCACGGTATAGCTCACGGTGTAGCTCCCGATGTAGCTCACAGTATAGCTCACGGTGTAGCTCACGGTGTAGCTCCCGATGTAGCTCACGGTGTAGCTCACGGTGTAGCTTACGGTATATCTCACGAAGTAGCTCACGGTGTTGCTCACAATGTAGCTCACATTGTAGCTCACGGTATAGCTCACGGTGTAGTTTATGGTGTTGCCCACGGTATACCTCACGATGTAGCTCACGGTGTAGCTCACGATATAGCTCATGGTGTAGCTCCCGATGTAGCTCATGGTGTAGATAACGATGTAGCTCACGGTAGAGCTCATGGTGTAGCTTACGATATAGCTCACTGTAGAGCTCACGATATATCTCACGGTGTAGCTCACGATGTAGCTCACGATGTAGCTCAAGGTGTAGCTCACGGTATATCTCACGGTGTAGCTCACGGTGTAGCTCACGGTGTAGCTTACGGTGTAGCTCACGGTGTAGCTCACTGGATATCTCACTGGATATCTCACGGTGTAGCTCACGGTGTAGCTCACGGTGTAGCTCACGGGATATCTCACGGTGTAGCTCACTGGATATCTCACGGTGTAGCTCACGGTGTAGCTCACAGTGTAGCTCACGGGATATCTCACGGTGTAGCTCACGGTGTAGCTCATAGTGTAGCTCACGGTGTAGCTCACGGTGTAGCTCACGGGATATCTCACGGTGTAGCTCACGGTGTAGCTCACGGGATATTTCACGGTGTAGCTCACGGTGTAGCTCACGGTGTAGCTCACGGGATATCTCATGGTGTAGCTCACGGTGTAGCTCTCGGGATATCTCATGGTGTAGCTCACGGTGTAGCTCACGGTGTAGCTCACGGGATATCTCATGGTGTAGCTCACGGTGTAGCTCACGGTGTAGCTCACGGTGTAGCTCACGGTATAGCTCACGGTGTAGCTCACGATATAGCTCATGGTGTAGATAACGATATAGCTCACGGTAGAGCTCATGGTGAAGCTTACGATATGGCTCACTGTAGAGCTCACGGTATATCTCACGGTGTAGCTCACGATGTAGCTCACGGTGTAGTTCACGAGATATCTCACGGTGTAGCTCACGGTGTAGCTCACGGTGTAGCTCACTGTGTAGCTCACGGGATATCTCACGGTGTAGCTCACGGTGTAGCTCACGGGATATCTCACGGTGTAGCTCACTGGATATCTCATGGTGTAGCTCACGGTGTGGCTCACTGGATATCTCACGGTGTAGCTCATGGTGTAGCTCACGGTATAGCTCACGGTGTAGCTCACATTGTAGCTCACGATGTAGCTCACGGTATAGCTCACGGTGTAGCTCACGGTGTAGCTCACGATGTAGCTCACGGTGTAGCTCACGGTGTAGCTCACGATGTAGCTAACGATGTAGCTCACGGTGTAGCTCACAGTATAGCTCATGGTGTAGCTCACGATGTACCTAACGATGTAGCTCACGGTGTAGCTCACTGTGTAGCTCACGGTGTAGCTCGCGGTAAAGCTCACGGTATAGCTCACGGGATATATTACGGTATAGCTCACGGTGCAGCTCACGGTGTAGCTCACGGTATATCTGACGGTGTAGCTCACGATATAGTTAACAGTGTAGTTACTGTGCAGTGCCATGCATTAAACTCAGTTACTGGAACTTGAGAATATAAATAAAGCCACACAAATATGGGTATACGGAAAAAGAGGTCACATGTCGCTCTCACATAGACCCGTGGATATGCTGAAGAAAAAAGTTTTATCCTATGGAAACGAAGCTTTAAACAAAAAGACGTCGTCGACACACTATCCTATATATATATAATATATAGATAGCTTTATATACATATATATATAATGTAAATATGTATATATACGTGTCGATATACAATATATATATATATATATATATATATATATATTATATATATATATATATATATATAAAATTGCTCTAACATCCCCCCCCCCACCACGCCCCCCCCCCCTCCTTGCTAGACAAAAACGCATAAGAAAAGAGTTGACGAGGAAAAAAAGGTGCGTATACAATATTTTAGTCAGATAAAAATATATTATTTAAATCTCACAAAAGGATAAAACCTGGCAGAAGGTAGGCAAGAAGAAGAATGGAATGGAAATGGGAAGATACCTACAGTTCCTGACCATTGGTTTTTAAAGTATACATTCATAGGGAGAGGCAGAACATCAAGGGGGGGGGGGGGCGGGCGCGAAGGGAGGGGGAGATCCAGATGAGCCAGGAATCATTCTGGAGACATCATCTAATTAACTGCGACAATAAAAAAAAAAAAAAAAAAAAGATAATAGAAGAGAAACACACATATACACTTGACAGCAGACATTTGAAATGCGTCATCGATTTGAATCCATCATATTTTTTTCGAAACAAATGTAGAACCATGCTTTTCCCACGTCGATTAACTAGTGTAACCTGAATGTTATAAGAGCCACGGGAGGTCTGAAACCGATTGTTACAGTTGATTATCCGTCAGAGTTTAAATATAAATTGAATAACGCCCCCTGACAATCAGTGGAGACGAGCTGCGTGATGACTGCTTCAAATTGTAGACTTAACCAGCAGGCGGTAATCAACAAGGCATCCCAATAATTAACGGATCAATATATTGGAATCCCAGAAACGGTGAGACTGTACATAAAGTTAGTCTTTCCTCTTGAGCCTACTGCGGCGCAAAGGGCAGATGTCATAGCTCTCTATGTCTGGCGGTTCGTTGCCACCTGCTTCACGTCTTGGATGTTCATTAGGCCCATGGTTAAGCCTTCTCTGATGATGATTCTAAGCAAAGTCTCTCTTGGTTTTCTCTGTTTTCTTTCCTCTTCCGGTGTCCATATCAAAGCTTGAGGGGAGGGTCTTGTCTCATCCTTCCTGTGTGCATGTATACATAAGAAAAAAACATAATAATTTATAGCTCGTTTACATGTAGTCGTGGGAGCCGCCATGATGTACCTGCTAGACGCGCGCCTGGGGATCCAAAGGCAATGGCTCATGTGTCGACCTCGCCTTAAACGGATACCAGGTAAAGTCCTGGGAAATAAATGTGGGTGGTGTGATGCTGTTCCACCAATAAATTATAGTTCCAGCTCTATATGCACAGTATACCTAAAGGCGTTGAAAAGGACTTATTGTTAATATATGGTTGTGGCTAAGTAAATAATCCGTGGTTCAGGGGCTCTGAAGGTTGTTGGATCGTTTCAGTGAAAGCTGGTCAGTCTACTAGTACAATCCATCAGGAGATCCTTGGGTATCGTCACTGAAGATACTGAGTTGGTGTTTTGTGCGACCATCTTGACAGACTGCAAGGGGTTATGAGAAACCAAAGAAGTAACAAGCCATATAGAATAACGTCCAGTGTAATTAAGTCGATAAACAGATGAATAGCATATCATGGATTTTCTGTCCAGGTTATTCAAGTCTTCGAGGTAACAAGCAGACTGACAGATTAGCTGCTACCGATCACCTGAGCCGTGAGCTGCTATATGATAAAACAGATGCGATAAAGGCTCTATGGAATCAACTGGACAGTGCAAAAGAAAAGTTAGGGAATCCATAGACTGAACGACTAATTCAACGAGGGAGGGGTATAGATTCTGGAAGACTTTCAAAATTAAAAGGGACACAGAAGCGGATTTTCTAATTAGGTTGCAACTGATACTATAAGCATGTCAACTATTATTTGGCTACTAAAGAAAGGGACGGCGCAAATGTGGGAATTTCCCCAGAACGGTGATGTCATAGGCTGTCTGCAGAGTGGATGCAGATTCAAAACTAAGAATCAGAAATCGTTAAAGATATTAATTCCAACTGCCTGCAGGGTGTAAAAAGCTTTCTATTTAGTCTGAAAATCTGTAGGAAAAGGTTCATTTCAACTTTTGAATTACTTTCGCTAGTGTCTGATTTTAAATTAGATATTTGTTCTATAATGAGAAAAACATTCAAACAGAATATGATGAAAAGAACCCTCAGTGGTTAATTCTAATCTAATTTTCATATATATGTAACAAACGTCTGTCCTGTAGCAACTTGAAATCAGATTTACATTGCCTTGCAGAAAGAACAGTCAGTTATTTGTTGCGAGTAATGTAAACTAAAAGAGATGAAGGGGAATGAAGAGTGAAAAGCAACAACGAAATTCATAATCTGTGTAAACACCACTGATTTCAGGCAACTTGAGAGCTTATAGAGTTAAATGGTTGGGGGATATTGAGAGAATGTCAGATGACAGATAAGTGAAAACTGTTGAAAGCTGTATACACAAGGGAAATGTATGGTCGTAGACGACGAGGCAGACCAAGAAGACGATGGAGAGATAATGTCCAGACAGACTTGCAAACACTTAGTGTCACCAACTGGAAAGAGAAGGCCAACCAGAGAGATAAATGGGGGCGGGTGATATCTGCAGCAGTGAACCTCAAGGGCTCGGAATGCTGAAGAAGAAGAACAAGAATGTAAAGCAGTCTTTTCACGAGTCTTGAGGCTATAAAATATTATGTGTAGGTACTGCAATACGATCAGAGTTTTTCAAGCCGTCACGTAGTGAATTATTTGACATTTTTATTCCCATAGAAAACAAATACATTAAAACTTAGGTTTGGCCCCTGCAGCAATAAGAAGTCTGGGACAAAATAACTGTTAATTACAGTTTGTTATAGCTCCGTGTATTTGCTTCAAGGTAATGCAGAAACGATAGTAAAAAATATTCCACAGACAAGTAGCTTTTGGACTCACTACTGGAAATAATATGAGAGTGGCAGAAAGAATGAGGAGGTTAAAGTGAAAGAATAGGATGACACAGCTAAAGCACAAGAAGATGTAGAAGAAAAAGAAAGAAAGAAGAAGAAGAAGAAGAGAAGAAGAAGAAGAAGAAGAAGAAGAAGAAGAAGAAGAAGAAGAAGAAGAAGAAGAAGAAGAAGAAGAAGAAGAAGAAGAGGAAGAAGAAGAAGAAGAAGGTAAATCTAAAAACCTTTTAAAAATGATCACGTCAACAATACATCATCATCATCATCATCATCAGTTCCTGTTATGTCTAGTGGCACATGAGACTTCAGAGAGGCCTTTCCATGCTTTCCTGTTTTGTGCAATCTTTAGTGCAGTTTTCCATGTCAAAGATTCCGTACTCAGGTCATTTTCAATCGTTCGTCTCCAGGTTGTTTTTGGGCGCCCCTGTTTTCTCTTTCCCTCTGGTGTCCATGTGAGAGCTGTTTTGGCAGGTATATCAGGATTCATTTCCATAACATGGCCAAGCCAAGCCATTCCATCTTCTCTTGGTTATCATACTGTCTAAAGTTTCTTGGTTTATGACTTGAAGTAGTTTAATGTTTGAGATTGTATCTGGCTAGGTACAATCCATGACAATTTATTTCCTGGCGTAATTAGCTGTTATCTCTTCCGGTTTACTACAAGAATTTCGCGGGTCTGAATCCTAGATCTTGTATTCATGACAGGAAAGAAACCTGAATTCCTTTCACAGATGATGTCTGAGGACCACCTTGGAAAAAAAAATGGAAGAACCATAAAACAAACAATAAGCGCTTAAAAAAAGCAGATGTTATAACACTTTCCACTCAAGCAGAGGCGTCTACGATGGCTGGGTGATCTGCTTCAAATAGAAGATGAACGTATTCCTAAAGGATTTTTTCTTGCGAGAACTAGTCAATGGAAAGAGGCCAGCGGGAAGACCCCAAATGCGATACAAGGATGTCTGTAAACAGGAGGATATGAAAACCCGTGGCTTGGATACGGGAAACAGGAGAGAGAGTTGCAAACAGACAGATGTTTCAGGAAAAAAGGTATGGCAAAAATGGGCTGGTGCTCTTTGAACGCAATCTGATAAAAAAAAAAAAAAAAAAAAACCACCGAGGACAAAAAGCAGTCCAAGAGGGGCTACCTCATCTTTACGTTTTTTACAAAAATTAGCTGCTCACCTTGTATGTTGCAGAACCAAACCCTAGCATAGCGCAAATTAGGCTGCTGTCAGAAAGCCCGATGCTGGATTTAACAGGTGTAACGGATTTTCAAATTTCAACTGAGATTGTTAACTATGGCATCGGACTATATAGCGCCTGCCAGGTGGCACAAATCTGTAGTCCCACAGGAAGGAAAGAGGCTAACTACTTACAGCACCACTAATATTAATATTACTACTATTACTACCATTACAATTACTACCATGTCGACTACCTTTACTACCACCACGACTACTATTACTACCACCACAACTACCAATACTACCACCGCCAGTACTATTACTACAACCACCAAAACCATTACTACCACCACCACTACCAATACTACAACCACCACTGCTACCACCACCACTGCTAATACTACCAATATTATTACTAGTGTTATTTCTATTGCTGCCAACACTACTATTACTATTATTACCACTGCCACCCCTATTACTACTACCACCACCACCACTGTTACTACCACCACCACTAATATTACCACCACCACGGCTATCACTACTAGAGGGGATAGCAAACAGCGAAACATCCTAAAAGAGTATCTTTCTTCAGCCTTACTGGTTAAAGAAGAGGATTCGGAGTTGGCCCAGCTCTGATTCTCTACTATAATAAATTGTATATTTAAATGTACTAAA